AAAATACATAAATAAACATTACAGATGTATTCTAAAACCATACTGAAAATTTTGGTATATAATATATATTGATATTTATTTGAATTTGTGGCCCCAAAGACCTTTTAACTGCCCACTAGTCATCATATCATTCGCCCTCCCGAAAAAAAATTTGTCCACAAGCCGAAAATAATACGTAGCGAATGAGTTAAGACTGCGCATTCAAAGATGGTTTAAACCCCGAGTTCTGGCAAGAGACGCTTAGTGAGTGGCTGCTGTGCTAAAACCATCCTCATCATCTTCTCTATGTTCTTCACAATATTTTGAACTACTTTTTGTGTTCAACTATCGGTAAGAAGCTACCAAAATCTTTTTTTTAAAAAACTTTATATGACATTTAGTGGAAAAACAACTCAATATATGTAAGGTGTTTTGTGTGTGTGTGTGTGTGTGTGTGGGGGGGGGAGAGAAATTAGTCCTAATTATGAGGACCATTAATGATCTGTAATTTCCAAAGCAAGTGGCAATCAAATACTACCAAGCGCTCCAACAAAAGAAATCTTGAAGTTGACATAGAAGTTAATATAAAATCTGACATGTTCTCAGATGTTTTCCTTTGACGAAACTGCACATAAAGCATTTTGTGATGAAACCCTTCATGTGTTTATTGCACAAGTCACAAAAAGTATTCAGTGGTAGATCTAACCAGCACATGAGCACACAGAGAGAGAGAGAGAGAGAGAGAGAGAGAGAGAGAGAGAGAGAGAGAGAGAGAGAGAGAGAGAGAGAGAGAGAGAGAGAGAGAGAGAGAGAGACTATATACTTAAAACAATTATTGTTGAACATCAATCAAAACAAATCTTTCTTTGTCTATGGAATGACTTAAGTTTGCCATCGTATTCATACCACCAATCACAGCTTGACAACATCGAGAAAGACAACACAAATTAAGGTGGCAGCCCACACTTAGTACACACATTAAACTATTTTGGCAATCTTGATTCACGCTAGGATTTTCATAAATTTAGACTAAATGTAGTTCATACACTGAAGCTACCATAAAGGCATTAAAACTATCCCCCAAAAAATCATAAGCCCTTCATGCAGCCGTTTTCTAATGGCTAGATATTAGTTTGTCCTTGGATTTTTTCATGTGTGTGATAGTTGGTTATTTTATACCTTTTTTTTTTTACAAAATAAACAAATCTCACCTTTTCCATATTTGTGCATGATTTAATGTTATAATTTCTCAATTTCGCCGGTCGCCTCTGTTCAATGAGCTTTGTTTGGGTGGTTTGTCTAGTCTCTTGTAGCGCTCACTCATCTCCACTACTGCTGCCTCTCTCCGCAGGTCTAAGGGTTCGTGGTTCGTATGTATTTCATTAGCTACAGTTGACCTTAAAAACTGAAATCAATGTAACAACTCTAGCTTGATTCTGTACTTTGTCAAGGGACCTCTGGGGCTTTTTTTCCTGCAGATTGTCTGTAGGCCTAGGTTGTATTCTATTGCACAGCATACATCGTCAACAGGGAAAGGGGTGGGCGGGGCAGGGGAGGCTGTTCAGCATAATGTATACATACCTGAAAGTGACTTATCCCCAACTGCTACATCATAACCTTTATTTGACTGCCCACTTTCTTGTTGACCTGAGGCAGAAATTAAAACAACAAAATTCCCACTTGGAGAGTCAAACAACACATTGCATGCATTTGTAAAGAGTAATATAATAGCCATATAGAGAATGACACAGAAAAGTAAGAGTAAAGAAAACGTAACAAACAAGCTTTGTTCTTTCTCAGAGAATCATAAAAGGCGAAAATTCCTTTATAATGTCGAACACTGTTGGAATCTTAATTATATAATGGCCCATTCCATGTTACATGTGTTACATCTGGGATCTACTTTCACGTCTTTAAAAGAGATTTGTTACAAGAACATGCGTGTCAGGAACAAAAGCATTGTTCCTTGAGAAAGACATAAAGTCAGTTTGAACTGTTGTACCTTTGCAAGTCATTTAAGAAGTAACTTTTGACTGACATGATGATGAAGTGGCCGTTACGTGTGCTATGAGAAGAAAATGCTTCATTCTACTTCTCTGCAGACTGTACCAAATTTCTTCAAAGTTGTCAGGCAGAGCCAAGATAATTTTTTATACACTCTTTGTAAATGAATGCTGAGCATTTTTCCAGCTTTATAAAGAAAAAAGACTTTAACTTCATGAAATATAGTCAAAAGTAAATGTTACGTGTGTTACATCTTTTTTTGTTTCGTGTGTTACATCTTCAGACCAGAAATTTTAATTGGCAAGTAGAGCCCATTAAAAAAAATATTTGGTCATTTTTTGCAAAAGCAATTTGACTGACAAGGAATCAAGCATCGGTGATACCTCAAGCCGTGGCAAAAAGGTAAATGTTTAACATTAATTAAATTATTGCGCTTCATTTTATATTTCATACGATCATTTTCTGTTAACAACATTGATATCAATCAAAGTTGATTTATTTGTGCTTTGGACTTCAAAAATCATCTTAGTAAAAACTTAATTTAAAATGTGTGTCAGGTCACAGTGGAATCAGGCGCTCGTCAATTTTTGGGCATGTGGGGTTATTGGTATCATTCGTAAAGCTTGTTCATTTGTATATCTTTCTATGAATAAGATACTCATCTATCTTATATAGAAGTCGACATCTGCAATTGAACAACGTGGGGTTGCCCGATTTCAGAGGTAAAAATAGCGATAAAATGGCCCCCAAAGCTTGATGATTTCCATAGTCCTTGGAAACAGGGTTGGTGATTTTTTAAATTTTTATTTAAAAAATCAAAAAAATCGATTTTTTAAATTTAAATCAGATTTTTTAAATTTAAATTGGATTTTTTTGATTTTTTTAAAAATGTCGACACAGTTTGGGATTTTTGGTGGCTAAAAGTATGTTCTTTTAGTGCAGAATGCATTGTCTTTATTTTAACTAATGATTAATATAAGCAACTGCAAAAGAAAGCCTTAATCTGCTATTATCAGTGAATTATGGCTACAGACAAAAAATGAAGAAAATGTCAGTCTAAAAGGAAAGCGGGGGAGGGGGTAATTATGCATAGATAAACTTGTATTTTATTACAGTGTGCGTGTGTGTGTGTGCGCGCTTGTGTTTGTCTAAAAAGAAAAAGAAAATGCTAATTTCAATTATGAAAAAAAGTAAATTGAATACTGTATTAATTTACTACTTACAGTGACAGGGGGGGAAGCAGACTTTTAAGCATGATTATATTAGTCTACTAAACCTTATATCTGTTAAATAAAACCAAGGAAAGGAATTCTGAATGTTTAAATATGTAAAAACAGAATACATTTTTAAAAAGTGATTTAAATCACAAAATCAAGTTGATTAAAATAAAAAAAATCAACTGATTTAAATCAACCCAGCTCTGATTTCAATTATGGGAAAAAAAAGTAAATTGAATATTGTATTATTTTACAGTGAAAGGGGGTAAAGCAGACTTTTAAGCATGATTATATTAGTGTACAAAACCTTATGTCTGTTTTATGAAACCTAGGAAAGGAATTCTGAATGTTGAAATATGTAAAAACTGAATAAAAATAAAAAAATTTTTAAGTGATTTAAATCACTGATTTTTACTTAAAAAATCAAGTTGATTTAAATAAAAAAAATCAACTGATTTAAATCAACCCAACCCTGCTTGGAAACTGAAAATTTACATTTTTTGTGCCTTTAGTCAACATTTTTCAGTAAAATCCACCCAAAAAATGTGTTTTTAAATGGACATAAAAGGTGTTGAGACAAAAAAAAAAATATTTGATAAAAATTGCTATACTGAATACTGACGGAAAGCCCTGACATCTTCGATTTTATTTTTTTGACAAGCGCCTGATTTCACCATGATGCTTCACATATTTATTAGTGACCTTTTTCCAGTACTGGTGCATGGTTCGGGAAGAGAGAGAAAGAGAGAGAGAGAGAGAGAGAGAGAGAGAGAGAGAGAGAGAGAGAGAGAGACTATATACTTAAAACAATTATTGTTGAACATCAATCAAAACAAATTTTTCTTTGGCTATGGAATGACTTAAGTTTGCCATCGTATTCATGTCACTAATCACAGCTTGACAACATCGAGAAAGACAACACAAATTAAGGTGGCAGCCCACACTTAGTACACACATTAAACTATTTTGGCAATCTTGATTCACGCTAGGATTTTCATAAATTTAGACTAAATGTAGTTCATACACTGAAGCTACCATAAAGGCATTAAAACTATCCCCCAAAAAATCATAAGCCCTTCATGCAGCCGTTTTCTAATGGCTAGATATTAGTTTGTCCTTGGATTTTTTCATGTGTGTGATAGTTGGTTATTTTATACCTTTTTTTTTTTACAAAATAAACAAATCTCACCTTTTCCATATTTGTGCATGATTTAATGTTATAATTTCTCAATTTCGCCGGTCGCCTCTGTTCAATGAGCTTTGTTTGGGTGGTTTGTCTAGTCTCTTGTAGCGCTCACTCATCTCCACTACTGCTGCCTCTCTCCGCAGGTCTAAGGGTTCGTGGTTCGTATGTATTTCATTAGCTACAGTTGACCTTAAAAACTGAAATCAATGTAACAACTCTAGCTTGATTCTGTACTTTGTCAAGGGACCTCTGGGGCTTTTTTTCCTGCAGATTGTCTGTAGGCCTAGGTTGTATTCTATTGCACAGCATACATCGTCAACAGGGAAAGGGGTGGGCGGGGCAGGGGAGGCTGTTCAGCATAATGTATACATACCTGAAAGTGACTTATCCCCAACTGCTACATCATAACCTTTATTTGACTGCCCACTTTCTTGTTGACCTGAGGCAGAAATTAAAACAACAAAATTCCCACTTGGAGAGTCAAACAACACATTGCATGCATTTGTAAAGAGTAATATAATAGCCATATAGAGAATGACACAGAAAAGTAAGAGTAAAGAAAACGTAACAAACAAGCTTTGTTCTTTCTCAGAGAATCATAAAAGGCGAAAATTCCTTTATAATGTCGAACACTGTTGGAATCTTAATTATATAATGGCCCATTCCATGTTACATGTGTTACATCTGGGATCTACTTTCACGTCTTTAAAAGAGATTTGTTACAAGAACATGCGTGTCAGGAACAAAAGCATTGTTCCTTGAGAAAGACATAAAGTCAGTTTGAACTGTTGTACCTTTGCAAGTCATTTAAGAAGTAACTTTTGACTGACATGATGATGAAGTGGCCGTTACGTGTGCTATGAGAAGAAAATGCTTCATTCTACTTCTCTGCAGACTGTACCAAATTTCTTCAAAGTTGTCAGGCAGAGCCAAGATAATTTTTTATACACTCTTTGTAAATGAATGCTGAGCATTTTTCCAGCTTTATAAAGAAAAAAGACTTTAACTTCATGAAATATAGTCAAAAGTAAATGTTACGTGTGTTACATCTTTTTTTGTTTCGTGTGTTACATCTTCAGACCAGAAATTTTAATTGGCAAGTAGAGCCCATTAAAAAAAATATTTGGTCATTTTTTGCAAAAGCAATTTGACTGACAAGGAATCAAGCATCGGTGATACCTCAAGCCGTGGCAAAAAGGTAAATGTTTAACATTAATTAAATTATTGCGCTTCATTTTATATTTCATACGATCATTTTCTGTTAACAACATTGATATCAATCAAAGTTGATTTATTTGTGCTTTGGACTTCAAAAATCATCTTAGTAAAAACTTAATTTAAAATGTGTGTCAGGTCACAGTGGAATCAGGCGCTCGTCAATTTTTGGGCATGTGGGGTTATTGGTATCATTCGTAAAGCTTGTTCATTTGTATATCTTTCTATGAATAAGATACTCATCTATCTTATATAGAAGTCGACATCTGCAATTGAACAACGTGGGGTTGCCCGATTTCAGAGGTAAAAATAGCGATAAAATGGCCCCCAAAGCTTGATGATTTCCATAGTCCTTGGAAACAGGGTTGGTGATTTTTTAAATTTTTATTTAAAAAATCAAAAAAATCGATTTTTTAAATTTAAATCAGATTTTTTAAATTTAAATTGGATTTTTTTGATTTTTTTAAAAATGTCGACACAGTTTGGGATTTTTGGTGGCTAAAAGTATGTTCTTTTAGTGCAGAATGCATTGTCTTTATTTTAACTAATGATTAATATAAGCAACTGCAAAAGAAAGCCTTAATCTGCTATTATCAGTGAATTATGGCTACAGACAAAAAATGAAGAAAATGTCAGTCTAAAAGGAAAGCGGGGGAGGGGGTAATTATGCATAGATAAACTTGTATTTTATTACAGTGTGCGTGTGTGTGTGTGCGCGCTTGTGTTTGTCTAAAAAGAAAAAGAAAATGCTAATTTCAATTATGAAAAAAAGTAAATTGAATACTGTATTAATTTACTACTTACAGTGACAGGGGGGGAAGCAGACTTTTAAGCATGATTATATTAGTCTACTAAACCTTATATCTGTTTTATAAAACCAAGGAAAGGAATTATGAATGTTTAAAGACGTAAAAATAATACATTTTTAAAAAGTGATTTAAATCACTGAGGTTTATTTTTAAAATCAAGTTGATTTAAATTTGTAAAAATCAACTGATTTAAATCGACCTGATTTAAATTAACCCAACCCTGGTTTTCAATTATGAAAAGAAAGAAAATTGAATACTGTATTATTTCATAGTGACAGGGGGGAAAGCAGACTTTTAAGCATGATTATATTAGTCTACTAAACCTTATATCTGTTAAATAAAACCAAGGAAAGGAATTCTGAATGTTTAAATATGTAAAAACAGAATACATTTTAAAAAAGTGATTTAAATCACAAAATCAAGTTGATTAAAATAAAAAAAATCAACTGATTTAAATCAACCCAGCTCTGATTTCAATTATGGGAAAAAAAGTAAATTGAATATTGTATTATTTTACAGTGAAAGGGGGTAAAGCAGACTTTTAAGCATGATTATATTAGTGTACAAAACCTTATGTCTGTTTTATGAAACCTAGGAAAGGAATTCTGAATGTTGAAATATGTAAAAACTGAATAAAAATAAAAAAAATTTTAAGTGATTTAAATCACTGATTTTTATTTTAAAAATCAAGTTGATTTAAATTAAAAAAATCAACTGATTTAAATCAACCCAACCCTGCTTGGAAACTGAAAATTTACATTTTTTGTGCCTTTAGTCAACATTTTTCAGTAAAATCCACCCAAAAAATGTGTTTTTAAATGGACATAAAAGGTGTTGAGACAAAAAAAAAAATATTTGATAAAAATTGCTATACTGAATACTGACGGAAAGCCCTGACATCTTCGATTTTATTTTTTTGACAAGCGCCTGATTTCACCATGATGCTTCACATATTTATTAGTGACCTTTTTCCAGTACTGGTGCATGGTTCGGGAAGAGAGAGAAAGAGAGAGAGAGAGAGAGAGAGAGAGAGAGAGAGAGAGAGAGAGAGAGAGACTATATACTTAAAACAATTATTGTTGAACATCAATCAAAACAAATTTTTCTTTGGCTATGGAATGACTTAAGTTTGCCATCGTATTCATGTCACTAATCACAGCTTGACAACATCGAGAAAGACAACACAAATTAAGGTGGCAGCCCACACTTAGTACACACATTAAACTATTTTGGCAATCTTGATTCACGCTAGGATTTTCATAAATTTAGACTAAATGTAGTTCATACACTGAAGCTACCATAAAGGCATTAAAACTATCCCCCAAAAAATCATAAGCCCTTCATGCAGCCGTTTTCTAATGGCTAGATATTAGTTTGTCCTTGGATTTTTTCATGTGTGTGATAGTTGGTTATTTTATACCTTTTTTTTTTTACAAAATAAACAAATCTCACCTTTTCCATATTTGTGCATGATTTAATGTTATAATTTCTCAATTTCGCCGGTCGCCTCTGTTCAATGAGCTTTGTTTGGGTGGTTTGTCTAGTCTCTTGTAGCGCTCACTCATCTCCACTACTGCTGCCTCTCTCCGCAGGTCTAAGGGTTCGTGGTTCGTATGTATTTCATTAGCTACAGTTGACCTTAAAAACTGAAATCAATGTAACAACTCTAGCTTGATTCTGTACTTTGTCAAGGGACCTCTGGGGCTTTTTTTCCTGCAGATTGTCTGTAGGCCTAGGTTGTATTCTATTGCACAGCATACATCGTCAACAGGGAAAGGGGTGGGCGGGGCAGGGGAGGCTGTTCAGCATAATGTATACATACCTGAAAGTGACTTATCCCCAACTGCTACATCATAACCTTTATTTGACTGCCCACTTTCTTGTTGACCTGAGGCAGAAATTAAAACAACAAAATTCCCACTTGGAGAGTCAAACAACACATTGCATGCATTTGTAAAGAGTAATATAATAGCCATATAGAGAATGACACAGAAAAGTAAGAGTAAAGAAAACGTAACAAACAAGCTTTGTTCTTTCTCAGAGAATCATAAAAGGCGAAAATTCCTTTATAATGTCGAACACTGTTGGAATCTTAATTATATAATGGCCCATTCCATGTTACATGTGTTACATCTGGGATCTACTTTCACGTCTTTAAAAGAGATTTGTTACAAGAACATGCGTGTCAGGAACAAAAGCATTGTTCCTTGAGAAAGACATAAAGTCAGTTTGAACTGTTGTACCTTTGCAAGTCATTTAAGAAGTAACTTTTGACTGACATGATGATGAAGTGGCCGTTACGTGTGCTATGAGAAGAAAATGCTTCATTCTACTTCTCTGCAGACTGTACCAAATTTCTTCAAAGTTGTCAGGCAGAGCCAAGATAATTTTTTATACACTCTTTGTAAATGAATGCTGAGCATTTTTCCAGCTTTATAAAGAAAAAAGACTTTAACTTCATGAAATATAGTCAAAAGTAAATGTTACGTGTGTTACATCTTTTTTTGTTTCGTGTGTTACATCTTCAGACCAGAAATTTTAATTGGCAAGTAGAGCCCATTAAAAAAAATATTTGGTCATTTTTTGCAAAAGCAATTTGACTGACAAGGAATCAAGCATCGGTGATACCTCAAGCCGTGGCAAAAAGGTAAATGTTTAACATTAATTAAATTATTGCGCTTCATTTTATATTTCATACGATCATTTTCTGTTAACAACATTGATATCAATCAAAGTTGATTTATTTGTGCTTTGGACTTCAAAAATCATCTTAGTAAAAACTTAATTTAAAATGTGTGTCAGGTCACAGTGGAATCAGGCGCTCGTCAATTTTTGGGCATGTGGGGTTATTGGTATCATTCGTAAAGCTTGTTCATTTGTATATCTTTCTATGAATAAGATACTCATCTATCTTATATAGAAGTCGACATCTGCAATTGAACAACGTGGGGTTGCCCGATTTCAGAGGTAAAAATAGCGATAAAATGGCCCCCAAAGCTTGATGATTTCCATAGTCCTTGGAAACAGGGTTGGTGATTTTTTAAATTTTTATTTAAAAAATCAAAAAAATCGATTTTTTAAATTTAAATCAGATTTTTTAAATTTAAATTGGATTTTTTTGATTTTTTTAAAAATGTCGACACAGTTTGGGATTTTTGGTGGCTAAAAGTATGTTCTTTTAGTGCAGAATGCATTGTCTTTATTTTAACTAATGATTAATATAAGCAACTGCAAAAGAAAGCCTTAATCTGCTATTATCAGTGAATTATGGCTACAGACAAAAAATGAAGAAAATGTCAGTCTAAAAGGAAAGCGGGGGAGGGGGTAATTATGCATAGATAAACTTGTATTTTATTACAGTGTGCGTGTGTGTGTGTGCGCGCTTGTGTTTGTCTAAAAAGAAAAAGAAAATGCTAATTTCAATTATGAAAAAAAGTAAATTGAATACTGTATTAATTTACTACTTACAGTGACAGGGGGGGAAGCAGACTTTTAAGCATGATTATATTAGTCTACTAAACCTTATATCTGTTTTATAAAACCAAGGAAAGGAATTATGAATGTTTAAAGACGTAAAAATAATACATTTTTAAAAAGTGATTTAAATCACTGAGGTTTATTTTTAAAATCAAGTTGATTTAAATTTGTAAAAATCAACTGATTTAAATCGACCTGATTTAAATTAACCCAACCCTGGTTTTCAATTATGAAAAGAAAGAAAATTGAATACTGTATTATTTCATAGTGACAGGGGGGAAAGCAGACTTTTAAGCATGATTATATTAGTCTACTAAACCTTATATCTGTTTTATAAAACCAAGGAAAGGAATTATGAATGTTTAAAGACGTAAAAATAATACATTTTTAAAAAGTGATTTAAATCACTGAGGTTTATTTTTAAAATCAAGTTGATTTAAATTTGTAAAAATCAACTGATTTAAATCGACCTGATTTAAATTAACCCAACCCTGGTTTTCAATTATGAAAAGAAAGAAAATTGAATACTGTATTATTTCATAGTGACAGGGGGGAAAGCAGACTTTTAAGCATGATTATATTAGTCTACTAAACCTTATATCTGTTTTATAAAACCAAGGAAAGGAATTATGAATGTTTAAAGACGTAAAAATAATACATTTTTAAAAAGTGATTTAAATCACTGAGGTTTATTTTTAAAATCAAGTTGATTTAAATTTGTAAAAATCAACTGATTTAAATCGACCTGATTTAAATTAACCCAACCCTGGTTTTCAATTATGAAAAGAAAGAAAATTGAATACTGTATTATTTCATAGTGACAGGGGGGAAAGCAGACTTTTAAGCATGATTATATTAGTCTACTAAACCTTATATCTGTTAAATAAAACCAAGGAAAGGAATTCTGAATGTTTAAATATGTAAAAACAGAATACATTTTTAAAAAGTGATTTAAATCACAAAATCAAGTTGATTAAAATAAAAAAAATCAACTGATTTAAATCAACCCAGCTCTGATTTCAATTATGGGAAAAAAAGTAAATTGAATATTGTATTATTTTACAGTGAAAGGGGGTAAAGCAGACTTTTAAGCATGATTATATTAGTGTACAAAACCTTATGTCTGTTTTATGAAACCTAGGAAAGGAATTCTGAATGTTGAAATATGTAAAAACTGAATAAAAATAAAAAAAATTTTAAGTGATTTAAATCACTGATTTTTATTTTAAAAATCAAGTTGATTTAAATAAAAAAAATCAACTGATTTAAATCAACCCAACCCTGCTTGGAAACTGAAAATTTACATTTTTTGTGCCTTTAGTCAACATTTTTCAGTAAAATCCACCCAAAAAATGTGTTTTTAAATGGACATAAAAGGTGTTGAGACAAAAAAAAAAATATTTGATAAAAATTGCTATACTGAATACTGACGGAAAGCCCTGACATCTTCGTTTATTTTTTTGACAAGCGCCTGATTTCACCATGATGCTTCACATATTTATTAGTGACCTTTTTCCAGTACTGGTGCATGGTTCGGGAAGAGAGAGAAAGAGAGAGAGAGAGAGAGAGAGAGAGAGAGAGAGAGAGAGAGAGAGAGAGACTATATACTTAAAACAATTATTGTTGAACATCAATCAAAACAAATCTTTCTTTGTCTATGGAATGACTTAAGTTTGCCATCGTATTCATAACCACCACTCAGAGCTTGAAAACATTGAGAAAGACAACACAAATTGAGGTGGCAGCCCACACTTAGTACACACATTAAACTATTTTGGCAATCTTGATTCACGCTAGGATTTTCATAAATTTAGACTAAATGTAGTTCATACACTGAAGCTACCATAAAGGCATTAAAACTATCCCCCAAAAAATCATAAGCCCTTCATGCAGCCGTTTTCTAATGGCTAGATATTAGTTTGTCCTTGGATTTTTTCATGTGTGTGATAGTTGGTTATTTTATACCTTTTTTTTTTTACAAAATAAACAAATCTCACCTTTTCCATATTTGTGCATGATTTAATGTTATAATTTCTCAATTTCGCCGGTCGCCTCTGTTCAATGAGCTTTGTTTGGGTGGTTTGTCTAGTCTCTTGTAGCGCTCACTCATCTCCACTACTGCTGCCTCTCTCCGCAGGTCTAAGGGTTCGTGGTTCGTATGTATTTCATTAGCTACAGTTGACCTTAAAAACTGAAATCAATGTAACAACTCTAGCTTGATTCTGTACTTTGTCAAGGGACCTCTGGGGCTTTTTTTCCTGCAGATTGTCTGTAGGCCTAGGTTGTATTCTATTGCACAGCATACATCGTCAACAGGGAAAGGGGTGGGCGGGGCAGGGGAGGCTGTTCAGCATAATGTATACATACCTGAAAGTGACTTATCCCCAACTGCTACATCATAACCTTTATTTGACTGCCCACTTTCTTGTTGACCTGAGGCAGAAATTAAAACAACAAAATTCCCACTTGGAGAGTCAAACAACACATTGCATGCATTTGTAAAGAGTAATATAATAGCCATATAGAGAATGACACAGAAAAGTAAGAGTAAAGAAAACGTAACAAACAAGCTTTGTTCTTTCTCAGAGAATCATAAAAGGCGAAAATTCCTTTATAATGTCGAACACTGTTGGAATCTTAATTATATAATGGCCCATTCCATGTTACATGTGTTACATCTGGGATCTACTTTCACGTCTTTAAAAGAGATTTGTTACAAGAACATGCGTGTCAGGAACAAAAGCATTGTTCCTTGAGAAAGACATAAAGTCAGTTTGAACTGTTGTACCTTTGCAAGTCATTTAAGAAGTAACTTTTGACTGACATGATGATGAAGTGGCCGTTACGTGTGCTATGAGAAGAAAATGCTTCATTCTACTTCTCTGCAGACTGTACCAAATTTCTTCAAAGTTGTCAGGCAGAGCCAAGATAATTTTTTATACACTCTTTGTAAATGCTGAGCATTTTTCCAGCTTTATAAAGAAAAAAGACTTTAACTTCATGAAATATAGTCAAAAGTAAATGTTACGTGTGTTACATCTTTTTTTGTTTCGTGTGTTACATCTTCAGACCAGAAATTTTAATTGGCAAGTAGAGCCCATTAAAAAAAATATTTGGTCATTTTTTGCAAAAGCAATTTGACTGACAAGGAATCAAGCATCGGTGATACCTCAAGCCGTGGCAAAAAGGTAAATGTTTAACATTAATTAAATTATTGCGCTTCATTTTATATTTCATACGATCATTTTCTGTTAACAACATTGATATCAATCAAAGTTGATTTATTTGTGCTTTGGACTTCAAAAATCATCTTAGTAAAAACTTAATTTAAAATGTGTGTCAGGTCACAGTGGAATCAGGCGCTCGTCAATTTTTGGGCATGTGGGGTTATTGGTATCATTCGTAAAGCTTGTTCATTTGTATATCTTTCTATGAATAAGATACTCATCTATCTTATATAGAAGTCGACATCTGCAATTGAACAACGTGGGGTTGCCCGATTTCAGAGGTAAAAATAGCGATAAAATGGCCCCCAAAGCTTGATGATTTCCATAGTCCTTGGAAACAGGGTTGGTGATTTTTTAAATTTTTATTTAAAAAATCAAAAAAATCGATTTTTTAAATTTAAATCAGATTTTTTAAATTTAAATTGGATTTTTTTGATTTTTTTAAAAATGTCGACACAGTTTGGGATTTTTGGTGGCTAAAAGTATGTTCTTTTAGTGCAGAATGCATTGTCTTTATTTTAACTAATGATTAATATAAGCAACTGCAAAAGAAAGCCTTAATCTGCTATTATCAGTGAATTATGGCTACAGACAAAAAATGAAGAAAATGTCAGTCTAAAAGGAAAGCGGGGGAGGGGGTAATTATGCATAGATAAACTTGTATTTTATTACAGTGTGCGTGTGTGTGTGTGCGCGCTTGTGTTTGTCTAAAAAGAAAAAGAAAATGCTAATTTCAATTATGAAAAAAAGTAAATTGAATACTGTATTAATTTACTACTTACAGTGACAGGGGGGGAAGCAGACTTTTAAGCATGATTATATTAGTCTACTAAACCTTATATCTGTTTTATAAAACCAAGGAAAGGAATTATGAATGTTTAAAGACGTAAAAATAATACATTTTTAAAAAGTGATTTAAATCACTGAGGTTTATTTTTAAAATCAAGTTGATTTAAATTTGTAAAAATCAACTGATTTAAATCGACCTGATTTAAATTAACCCAACCCTGGTTTTCAATTATGAAAAGAAAGAAAATTGAATACTGTATTATTTCATAGTGACAGGGGGGAAAGCAGACTTTTAAGCATGATTATATTAGTCTACTAAACCTTATATCTGTTTTATAAAACCAAGGAAAGGAATTATGAATGTTTAAAGACGTAAAAATAATACATTTTTAAAAAGTGATTTAAATCACTGAGGTTTATTTTTAAAATCAAGTTGATTTAAATTTGTAAAAATCAACTGATTTAAATCGACCTGATTTAAATTAACCCAACCCTGGTTTTCAATTATGAAAAGAAAGAAAATTGAATACTGTATTATTTCATAGTGACAGGGGGGAAAGCAGACTTTTAAGCATGATTATATTAGTCTACTAAACCTTATATCTGTTAAATAAAACCAAGGAAAGGAATTCTGAATGTTTAAATATGTAAAAACAGAATACATTTTAAAAAAGTGATTTAAATCACAAAATCAAGTTGATTAAAATAAAAAAAATCAACTGATTTAAATCAACCCAGCTCTGATTTCAATTATGGGAAAAAAAGTAAATTGAATATTGTATTATTTTACAGTGAAAGGGGGTAAAGCAGACTTTTAAGCATGATTATATTAGTGTACAAAACCTTATGTCTGTTTTATGAAACCTAGGAAAGGAATTCTGAATGTTGAAATATGTAAAAACTGAATAAAAATAAAAAAATTTTTAAGTGATTTAAATCACTGATTTTTATTTTAAAAATCAAGTTGATTTAAATTAAAAAAATCAACTGATTTAAATCAACCCAACCCTGCTTGGAAACTGAAAATTTACATTTTTTGTGCCTTTAGTCAACATTTTTCAGTAAAATCCACCCAAAAAATGTGTTTTTAAATGGACATAAAAGGTGTTGAGACAAAAAAAAAAATATTTGATAAAAATTGCTATACTGAATACTGACGGAAAGCCCTGACATCTTCGATTTTATTTTTTTGACAAGCGCCTGATTTCACCATGATGCTTCACATATTTATTAGTGACCTTTTTCCAGTACTGGTGCATGGTTCGGGAAGAGAGAGAGAGAGAGAGAGAGAGAGAGAGAGAGAGAGAGAGAGAGAGAGAGACTATATACTTAAAACAATTATTGTTGAACATCAATCAAAACAAATTTTTCTTTGGCTATGGAATGACTTAAGTTTGCCATCGTATTCATGTCACTAATCACAGCTTGACAACATCGAGAAAGACAACACAAATTAAGGTGGCAGCCCACACTTAGTACACACATTAAACTATTTTGGCAATCTTGATTCACGCTAGGATTTTCATAAATTTAGACTAAATGTAGTTCATACACTGAAGCTACCATAAAGGCATTAAAACTATCCCCCAAAAAATCATAAGCCCTTCATGCAGCCGTTTTCTAATGGCTAGATATTAGTTTGTCCTTGGATTTTTTCATGTGTGTGATAGTTGGTTATTTTATACCTTTTTTTTTTTACAAAATAAACAAATCTCACCTTTTCCATATTTGTGCATGATTTAATGTTATAATTTCTCAATTTCGCCGGTCGCCTCTGTTCAATGAGCTTTGTTTGGGTGGTTTGTCTAGTCTCTTGTAGCGCTCACTCATCTCCACTACTGCTGCCTCTCTCCGCAGGTCTAAGGGTTCGTGGTTCGTATGTATTTCATTAGCTACAGTTGACCTTAAAAACTGAAATCAATGTAACAACTCTAGCTTGATTCTGTACTTTGTCAAGGGACCTCTGGGGCTTTTTTTCCTGCAGATTGTCTGTAGGCCTAGGTTGTATTCTATTGCACAGCATACATCGTCAACAGGGAAAGGGGTGGGCGGGGCAGGGGAGGCTGTTCAGCATAATGTATACATACCTGAAAGTGACTTATCCCCAACTGCTACATCATAACCTTTATTTGACTGCCCACTTTCTTGTTGACCTGAGGCAGAAATTAAAACAACAAAATTCCCACTTGGAGAGTCAAACAACACATTGCATGCATTTGTAAAGAGTAATATAATAGCCATATAGAGAATGACACAGAAAAGTAAGAGTAAAGAAAACGTAACAAACAAGCTTTGTTCTTTCTCAGAGAATCATAAAAGGCGAAAATTCCTTTATAATGTCGAACACTGTTGGAATCTTAATTATATAATGGCCCATTCCATGTTACATGTGTTACATCTGGGATCTACTTTCACGTCTTTAAAAGAGATTTGTTACAAGAACATGCGTGTCAGGAACAAAAGCATTGTTCCTTGAGAAAGACATAAAGTCAGTTTGAACTGTTGTACCTTTGCAAGTCATTTAAGAAGTAACTTTTGACTGACATGATGATGAAGTGGCCGTTACGTGTGCTATGAGAAGAAAATGCTTCATTCTACTTCTCTGCAGACTGTACCAAATTTCTTCAAAGTTGTCAGGCAGAGCCAAGATAATTTTTTATACACTCTTTGTAAATGAATGCTGAGCATTTTTCCAGCTTTATAAAGAAAAAAGACTTTAACTTCATGAAATATAGTCAAAAGTAAATGTTACGTGTGTTACATCTTTTTTTGTTTCGTGTGTTACATCTTCAGACCAGAAATTTTAATTGGCAAGTAGAGCCCATTAAAAAAAATATTTGGTCATTTTTTGCAAAAGCAATTTGACTGACAAGGAATCAAGCATCGGTGATACCTCAAGCCGTGGCAAAAAGGTAAATGTTTAACATTAATTAAATTATTGCGCTTCATTTTATATTTCATACGATCATTTTCTGTTAACAACATTGATATCAATCAAAGTTGATTTATTTGTGCTTTGGACTTCAAAAATCATCTTAGTAAAAACTTAATTTAAAATGTGTGTCAGGTCACAGTGGAATCAGGCGCTCGTCAATTTTTGGGCATGTGGGGTTATTGGTATCATTCGTAAAGCTTGTTCATTTGTATATCTTTCTATGAATAAGATACTCATCTATCTTATATAGAAGTCGACATCTGCAATTGAACAACGTGGGGTTGCCCGATTTCAGAGGTAAAAATAGCGATAAAATGGCCCCCAAAGCTTGATGATTTCCATAGTCCTTGGAAACAGGGTTGGTGATTTTTTAAATTTTTATTTAAAAAATCAAAAAAATCGATTTTTTAAATTTAAATCAGATTTTTTAA